GGCCATCTCGGCCGGTCCGAGCCACCGGCCCCGTGTTCCGGGCTCCACCAAATCTCCCATCCTGGTGAGACGCAGGTTGGCGAGGCGCCTCTCCATGCCAGGGGTGGTGGTGGTGGTGGATGGCAGCTTTGTCTGCGGGTTCCTGAGGATCGGTTCGGGGACCAGATCCTCGGCCGATCGCGGCTGGTTCAGCCTCCTGATGGCGAGGGAGCTCCACGTCTGCAGGACGCTCCTGTAGAAAGGTGGCAGCTGTCCCAGTGGGAGGCCCTGCAGGTCCATGTAGAATAGTTGTTTGGAGCATTGCAGATCCCCCAGCTGTTTCAGGAAGAAGGAGGAGGTGACGCTCCAGGCCGGTGCAGGGGTCTCTCTCGTTTTCCCTCTCTCTGCCTCTCCCTCTCTCTCTCGGTCTCTCCCCTTCCTTCCCTCTCTCTTCCCTCCCTCTCTCTCTCTCTCGCCGGTGATGTGCGCGTCTTTTTCGAACGCTGGGGGGCCGAAAAAGTCCCCTTTACCAGCGTGGACGACACCCTCATGTTCACCTTCTCAAGTGCTCGCTCATCGCCGTGGCGTGCGCGATGACCACCCCCACCACCACGTGACTTCTCTTTTCTGTTGTGCGCGGCGCATTTAGCGCCACAGCGCGTGAATTTATAGTGATTGTTATTTGTTTTCTGGTGACTTTGTGTATTTCGTAACGGAATCGCCTTCAGTGCTGTTGCTGCTAGCGGCAATAAAAGTTGTTTAAAAAAGAGTCTCGCTCTCTCTCTCTCTCTCGATCTCCATCTCTCTCCCTCTCCCGCTCTCTCTCTCTCTCTCCCAGCCGCCGTTCAGCCAGACACGGTCCCCAGCGAGGCGTTATCAAAGAGCGGGCGCTGTAAGCACCGCAGCTACAACTAACAGACCCTAATAAATAATCAAAACGGCTCGTGTAACGAAGCCTCACTCACTCTCTCTCCACTCCCTCGCTCGCTCGCTCGCTCACACCCCTCCCCTCACCTCTCTCTCTCTCCTAACTCCCCTCTCATGCCTCATTCCTCACTCGCTCTTCATTCCTCTCCTGCTACTCTCTCTTCTTCCTTCCAATCTCTTCCCTTCTTAAGTCCCCTCTCATGCCTCCTGCATCCCTCACTCTCCCCCCTCACTCTTCAATCCTCTCCTGCTCCCCCCTCATCTCCCCCCCCCCCTCCATCACTCTCCATCTCTCTCCATCCCTCTCATAGCTCCCCTCTCGTCCTTCCTTCCTCCTCACCCTCTCCCCTCTTAACTCCCCCCTCATCCTCCCTCCCCTTCCTCACTCTCCTCCATCTCCATTCATCGCTCTCTCTCTCGTGCTCAATGTCTCTGTGACTCTCTCCCCGGACACGTTGGTCGGAGGCTTAGCTCGAGGGCTTGGAGAGAGAGAGAGACAAAGCGATACACGTGTGTGAAGTCCTTTCGGCCAATGAGCGATGACATCACACGTGGCACGTCACAACGTCACGCGTCACAATGTCACGCAAGTCACAACGTCACACACCACATGTCACAAGTCACACGTCACGCGCCCCCTTCACTACTGATGACATCATCATCATCGTCACGTCACGTGTGACGTGACGATGATGGCCAGCGTCGCTTCCGAACAGAACACAGAGCTCAGGGGATGCCCGCCCTTACAGCTGACAAAAAAAATAAAAAGAAACAAAAATACGCTCACGAGAACAAGCGCGAATTTTGGGGATGCGGTCAGGCATCCATCCACGCGCGCGCAAAAATTTTATTCCATGTAAATTGCTTTGTTGCTTGTCTCGGGAAATGTATTTGTTTATTTTGCAAGGGATAGGGAGGGTGGGGAGGGTGGGGAGGGTGGGGAGGGAGGGGAGGGAGGGAGCGAGGTTTGGAGGGAGGGAGGGAGGGATTGTGGGCTTGGGGCCGGATGGGGTGGGGTGAAATTCCCTTCTTCTGAAGTTCATTCCTCATCGAGAAAGAGGGCAGACGCGGAGAGGCGGGCATCCTCTGATGTGACTCGCAGAGACAGCGCACGCGTGCGTGATGCCGCGTGCACCTCTGTTCAATCGCTCGCCTGTCCGTGTGCGAGCGAGCGCGCGCGTGCGTGTGTGAGCGTGTGCGTGTGTGAGCGTGTGTGAACGTGTGTGAACGTGCGTGTGTGAGCGTGTGTGAACGTGTGTGAGCGTGTGTGAACGTGTGTGAACGTGCGTGTGTGAGCGTGTGTGAACGTGTGTGAGCGTGTGTGAACGTGTGTGAGCGTGTGTGAGCGTGTGTGAGCGTGTGTGAGCGTGTGTGAACGTGTGTGAGCGTGTGTGAACGTGTGTGAACGTGTGTGAACGTGCGTGTGTGAGCGTGTGTGAGCGTGTGTGAACGTGTGTGAACGTGCGTGTGTGAACGTGTGTGAGCGTGTGTGAGCGTGTGTGAACGTGTGTGAGCGTGTGTGAGCGTGTGTGAACGTGTGTGAGCGTGTGTGAGCGTGTGTGAACGTGCGTGTGTGAGCGTGTGTGAGCGTGTGTGAACGTGTGTGAACGTGTGTGAGCGTGTGTGAACGTGTGTGAACGTGTGTGAACGTGTGCGTGCGTGAGCGTGCGTGAGCGTGTGTGAACGTGTGTGAGCGTGTGTGAACGTGTGTGAACGTGTGCGTGCGTGAGCGTGCGTGAGCGTGCGTGAGCGTGTGTGAACGTGTGTTAACGTGTGCGTGCGTGAGCGTGTGTGAGCGTGTGTGAACGTGTGCGTGCGTGAACGTGTGTGAACGTGTGTGAGCGTGTGTGAACGTGTGTGAACGTGTGCGTGCGTGAGCGTGTGTGAACTTGTGTGAGCGTGTGTGAGCGTGTGTGAACGTGTGTGAGCGTGTGTGAACGTGTGCGTGCGTGAGCGTGTGTGAACTTGTGTGAGCGTGTGTGAGCGTGTGTGAGCGTGCGTGAGCGTGTGTGAGCGTGTGTGAACGTGTGTGAGCGTGTGTGAACGTGTGTGAGCGTGTGTGAGCGTGTGTGAGCGTGTGTGAACGTGTGTGAACGTGAGCGTGTGTGAGCGTGTGTGAACGTGTGTGAGCGTGTGCGTGCGTGAGCGTGTGTGAGCGTGTGTGAGCGTGCGTGAGCGTGTGTGAGCGTGTGTGAGCGTGTGTGAACGTGTGCGTGCGTGAGCGTGCGTGAGCGTGTGTGAGCGTGCGTGAGCGTGCGTGAGCGTGTGTGAGCGTGTGTGAGCGTGTGTGAACGTGTGCGTGTGTGAGCGTGTGTGAACGTGTGCGTGTGTGAGCGTGTGTGAACGTGTGCGTGTGTGAGCGTGTGTGAACGTGCGCGTGCGTGCGTGTGTGCGTGTGTGTGTGTGTGCGTGCGTGTGTGAGCGTGTGTGAGCGTGTGTGAACGTGTGTGAACGTGTGCGTGCGTGAGCGTGTGCGTGTGTGAACGTGAGCGTGTGTGAACGTGAGCGTGTGTGAACGTGTGCGTGTGTGAACGTGTGTGAACGTGTGCGTGCGTGCGTGTGTGTGCGCGTGCGTGCGTGTGTGAGCACGCGCGTTGATACACGGGGTAACTGCAAGATCCGACGCCGCGTGTACGTCGGGCGCTCGTCCTCGAGCTCTGCATTGGCTTTCCGGCTGCCGGGCGAATACACGGCGGTGTTGCTGTGAGGTAGCGCTCATTACACGCACACACACACACACACGCGATGTGCCTTGTGTGTGTGTGTGTAATGAGTGGCGCCACGGTGGCTGCGAGATGTTGACTACCTCGCCTGGTACGCAGGGGGTCGTGGGTTCGATCCCGACCCTGACGACGCCTGCTACTGCTGTATAATTGGAGCTTGCGGTGTCTCTCTCTCATCATCATCATCATCACCACGGTGGCTAGGAGATGTTAACTACCTCGCCTGGTACGCAGGGGGTCGTGGGTTCGATCCAGACCCTGACGACGCCTGCTACTGCTGTATATTTGGAGCTTGCGGTGTCTCTCTCTCTGTCTCTCTCTCTCTCTCTCGCCGTGTTCGAGTGGATTTTTCCCTCCGGGTCCTCCGGTTTTTCCCTCCGCGTTTATAAATCAACGTCACGCGTTTAAGAGTAAGTCCACATGCTGAGCCACTTCGTTGAGCTATCAATTGAGGGCCAGGTCGCTTCTAAAAACAAAAGGGCTATACAGCTCAGTGGGACTAACCTGGTTAAAATCTTATTTTTATATAACAGTTTTAGTGCCGGTCGCCAGTACTCAAGAAGGCCTACGCATGTGTAATCTAAAATATACACGCACACTCGTATCGAAGACAGTTAAAATAAGTCAATCGACCTTAACTTGCCACGAATGAACGACAGCACCGCCGATGCTGACGCGCTTCTGCGGCCGTCCGGAACGCTCTCCCTTCGTGAAGCCACTGGGATCTGTGGCACTTTTAAAACCATCGTCTAGATTGACGAAGCCGCTTCTTTAAAGCTGCGTTCAGTGTGTTGTTGTCCGTCCCGCGCACCGCCGATTAGTTACAGTTGGCTACGTACGGTGCGAAAGAGGTTCACCGCACATACGTGCACACATACAACACATACATACATACATGCATACGTACATGCGCGTGTCCGTGAGGAGCGGTGGCACAATGGTTAGTGGTGCTGCACTACTATCCACACCACAAAGATCCAAAAGACAAAGATCCCCCGTATAGCCTTAACAGGGCTGTAGGGGCAAGTGCTGTTAGCGAGCACCTATGAAGGCCGGAACGGTACACGAGGGGGTGGGTGGCCAGCACCACGCCCGACCGCCTTAGTCTCCCCAGTGGCGATGTTTTCATCCACCGCACCAGGTACTCATTTGAGGCTGAGCGAACATAGGGGAGGCCCGGGACCGGTTCAGATAATCGTCACTGGTGTTGGCCGTGAGCGGGAATCTAACCCCGGGTCGCCAGGTTCATAGCGCAGCGCGCTAACCGCTACACTACCGCTCCACACACACACACACAACCACACACACACACACCACACTACACGCAGACACACCACACACACCACACACACACAACCACACGCGCCTTACCGTCGGTGGACGCCGGCGTGGTGCCGGTAGAGGCGCTTCCACTCGGCGCAGCACGTCAGGCACTCGCCCAGGCTGCGCTTGCCGGTCTCGGCGAAGCCCCCGTCCAAGATGCCCTCCAGGGAGATCTCCCGGCGGCAGACGCGGAGGACCTCCGTGCTCACCTTCGGTTTCCGGCAACAAAAGAGGAAAGGAAAATAAAAAAGAGGGACCCACCCCCCCCCTCTCCCTTCGCCGTGTCAACACTTTTAGAGAAGATTTTAGGAGTGGTGCCGGTGGGCGGTCGGCGGGGGGGGGTTTAACAAGGCGATGAGAAATGAAGGAAGCCTTTGTCTCCCCAGACGCCTTTGTCTCCCCAGTGTTGATGCTTACACTCCACACCGGGTACCCGATTTGAGGCTGAGTCGACCTAGGGGAGGCCCAGGTACCGGTTGAGATAATCGTCACCGGGTGTTAGCGCAGCGTGGCGCGAACCGCTACACTACCGCTCCTCGCACACGCTCACACTCTCACGCATACACACTCTCACGCACACACTCACACTCTCACACACATACAACAACAACCGCCATTCGCCACTAAGTGGCGGTGACGTCACCACGACGCTTGTGCCAGGCTATGTGCACCTTGAGGCCACGTGAAGTGTCGAACACCCGCTGGCAGGAGGTCACGGGGCAGACCCAGCAGGTGCCACGGGTCGACTGACTGAGACGACTGGCTGATGCACCACCTGTGCCCCCTACTGTGCCAACCTGCTGTGCTTTAGCCACCCGGCGCTCCGCTCGTTGTTGTGAGCGTCGCTCCTCCGCCCTCCGTTGTTGTTGGAGGGCGACTGCCTCCAACTGGCCAGTAGCAGCGTCCTTCATGAGCCTCCTCCACAGAGGCCGATCTTGACACCGCTGGTACCAGTCATCGGCAAGTCCACTCAGCTCCACATCCTCCTGTACCACATCACTCCATCTCTTCTCTAGCCATGCCGCGCCCGTTTAGCCCCCTCGATCCGGCCGAACAAAAGCTGTTTAGGCATGCGGTGGCTGGGCATGCGGGCTACATGACCCAGCCAATGTAGCCTTGCCCGCCGGAGGAGCTCACCGATGGGACTTTGTCTAGATCTTTCAAGGATTTGTGAGCTCCTCACACAATCCAGCCTGGTTAAACCCAGGATGGATCGTAGGCTGGCTAGCCTAAATGTTTCTAACCAGCGAAGATGTTCCATTAAGGGTGGTCCACATTTCACAAGCGTAGAGAAGGAATGGAATGACTGTGACCGAGAAGACCTGAAGCTTCGTGCGGAGCAACAGACCAGGTAGCTTCCACATAGCGATTCGCAACCGATGAAAAGATATTGCCGCTCGACTGATCCGGAGTGAGACCTCTGCTGTCAAACCGGAGACGGTCATGAGCACACTGCCCAGGTAGGGGAAACTCTCCACTCTCTCCATAACTGCCCTATCACCATTGGGAGTTGTGGGGGTGGAGTGTCCGATGGTACAAAATACCCAGGCAGGTGCTTAGTTTTTGTGGGGCTGATGGTAAGGACCCACCTCTGCGTGGCAAGCTCCAGGTTCAGCAGCAGCATCTCCAACTCCTCCTCTCAGTGAGCAGTAATTACCAGATCATCGGCATACATAACGTGGTTGAGCAATAGGGAGCCATCCCTTGACAGCACCCAGGCATCGGTCAGCCTCCCACTGTATCTGTACCAGATGGAAATTCATCCGGTACAACTATTGAAGGCTTCACGAACTACGTGGTCGAAATAGATGTTAAATAATGTAGGAGCCAGAGGACATCCCTGTCGCACCCCAAGGTGAACAGGGAAAAGCTCCGACTCCCGGCCACGTAGTTTTACCCGGGCCCGCTCACCATCATGAAGGTCCTTAATGATCGTGAGCAGAGAGTCGGGGACTCCGAAAGCACGAAGAACGACCCAGAGCCCAGGCCTACTAATGGTATCATAGGCCTTGACCAGGTCAATAAAGCAGAGATGTAGGTCTTGTTGGAATTCCCTACACCTCTGCTGTAGCAGACGGACAGAAAATATGGCATCTGTGCAGGACCGCCCTTTCCTGAAACCGCATTGGGGCTCTGCAAGCCTCTCCTCAGCGTGCCTGGCAAGGCGATGTTGAATAATCCTTGCCAGGATCTTTCCCGGCACACTGAGGAGTGAGATGTCCCTGTAGTTGTTACAGTCTGTGCGGCCCCCCTTCTTAAAGAGGGGGACCACCAGGGCATCCTTTCAACACCTGCGGAACCCATCCAGTGGCTTAGACTGTTGTTATGATGTCATGTAGGGCAATCTGTACACAAACGAAACACACACTCTCACACACACTCACACTCGCTCGTTAACTGGGCGATTTTTTAAGTGAATATTTATAATTGTTCTAACGCTGCTGCTGCTGCTCAAATCGCACATCGGCCCCTGGGTCCCATTCACGGCGGCTATGATTACACTGCGCGTGTGTGTGTACACGCGTGTGTGTGTGTACACGTGTGTGTGTATACAGACGTGTATGTGTGTACAGGCGTGTGTGTACACACACACGGAGCGATAGTGTAGCGGTTAGCGCGCTGCGCTATGAACCTGGCGACCCGGGTTCGATTCCCGCTCACGGCCAACACCAGTGACGATTATCTGAACCGGTCCCGGGCCTCCCCTAGGTCGACTCAGCCTCAAATGAGTACCTGGTGCGGTGTGTAAACATTGCCACTAGGGAGACAAAGGCGGTCGGGCGTGGTGCTGGCCACCCACCCCCTCGTGTACCGTTCCGGCCTTCATAGGTGCTCGCTAACAGCACTTGCCCCTACAGTCTGTTAAGGCTATATGGGGGATCTTTGTCTTTTATCTTTGTGTGTACATGTGGGTGTGTGCGTACAGGCGTGTGTGTATACGCGTGTGTGTGTACACGCTAACAGCACTTGTCCCTACAGTATGTTAAGGCTATACGGGGGATCTTTGTCTTTGTACACGATGGGGAGCGGTAGTGTAGCGGTTAGCGCGTTGCGCTATGAACCTGGCGTCCATGGTTCGATTCCCGCTCACGGCCAACACCAGCGACAATTTATCTGAACCGGTCCTGGGCCTCCCCTAGGTCGACTCAGCCTCAAATGAATACCCGGTGCGCGGTGTGTGTAGTAAACATCCCCACTGGGAAGACAAAGGCGGCCAGGGATTGGTGCTGGCCTTCATAGGTGCTGCTCGCTAACGGCGCTTGCCCCGACAGTCTGTTCAGGCTGTACGGGGGACCTTTGTCTTTGTGTACGCTTGCCTGCGCGTGCGTGCATGTGTGGCTGAGCGGTAGTGCAGCGGTTAGCTTGCTGACACCGCTCACCACATGAAGCTATGTAACATGCAAGTCTGTATTATATAGAATCAAGGCCGTAATTATAATATATATTGGGTGGGACACATCCCCACAATATTCAAATATGCTTAAAATGTCCCCCCCCCCCCCAATATATTGCTATTAAAAAAATCTATTTGCTAAACCTTGGCTACAATATCTGGACTTGTCATCATATAAATCAATGACATAGATTTATTTTTATATGATTGTGGTTATGGTTGTACTTTATAAATCCCTAATCTCTGCCATTACATGCAATGAAACAAGAAAAGGTATAAAAGAAAAAACAGAGCAATGTAATACAACAATGCACTATTGGACATTATTGTTAAAAAAATAAATTAAAAGTCCATCCTATGTGTTAGTGATTTTTTTATATATTTTAGGCAGGAAATTCGTTTTCAAATTTATATATATATTTTTTTTCTACGGGGGGACCCCCAGACCCCCTGGAAGATTTGGTCCCCCCAATGTTGGCTCCATGGCTAAGGCCTTGGTGTATACACACACGCACACACACCTAACGATATTATATAGAGTGGCTCCCCGACTTTTATTCATCCGTATCACGGCCAGAGGTTATCTCCCGCCGTGTCCAGCCACGGCGGCTACGAGAGCGGAGGGAGGCAGGGCAGGCAGGCTGGGTGGGTGGGTATGTGGGTGCGTTGATGTGCAGACGGGTGGGTGGAAAGGTGGGTGGGTCGGTGTATAGATGGGTGGGTATGTGGGTGGGTTGATGAGTAGATGGGTGTGTAGGTGACCTCCTGCCAGCGGGCGTTCGACACTTCACGTGGCCTCAAGTTGCACATGGCCTGGCACAAGCGTCGTGGTCACCGCCACTTAGTGGCGAATGGCGGTTGTTGTTGTTGTTGCTGCTGTTGTTGTGTAGGTTGGTGCGTTGATGAGTAGTAGATGGGTGTGTAGGTTGGTGGGTCGGTGTGACGACGTTGACGATGGTGGCAGTGGGCAAGGGGACGGGTGTGGAGGAGGTGGAGGAGTGGTTGAGGAGTGGTGGGAGTGTTGGGGGTGGTGGAGGAGTGGTGGTTGGGGAGTGGTGGGGGTGGTGGTGGTGAGCCTTGTCCGTGTCCCGCTTGCGAGTTCCATCGCGGGGCTCAGCTCGCTCTGTGCGAGCTGTAAGCCGGCGAGGGATCAGCGCGCCCCTCGCCATAATTACATCCGCACGTCTACACCCACCCCCCCACAACCACCCCCCCCCACAACCACGATCACCCCCTCCACCACCACTCACAACCACCACCACCACCACCACACCCACCCCCCCACCACCACCACCACCACCTCCGCTTAAGCCTCATTTCACAGGCCGCCAGGTTTGCAGCGGCTGAAGAAAAAAATCCACCGAGCATCAGAGAACGACAGCGGAAAAACAAACAACAACAACAAATAAATAAAAACGCGACTCCGAGGCCAGATCTACAGGCGACGGATGACAGGAAATTAACAATATTAATATTTAATAACGATCGTATCGCTTCATCGAACGATGATAGAACATCACCAAAGACGCAGATCCACACCCCCCCGTGTAGCCTCTAACAGACTGTAGGGGCAAGTGCTGTGAGTAGCAGCAGCAGCGATGAACACACAAAGACAAAGATCCCCCGTGTAGCCTCTAACAGACTGTAGGGGCAAGTTCTGTGAGTAGCAACAGCAGCTATGAACACACAAAGACAAAGATCCCCCGTGTAGCCTCTAACAGACTGTAGGGGCAAGTGCTGTGAGTAGCAGCAGCAGCTATGAACACACAAAGACAAAGATCCCCCGTGTAGCCTCTAACAGACTGTAGGGGCAAG